ACACTAGCCGTTCTTATTACGGTCCTTTTTTTTTTTGTCAAGGTTCCCTTTCTCTTGGAACCCTAGTGATCTTGGTGACTTTGCAGCCATTGTGCACCGCTCAACCGCCGTTGCAGATCCGGACGTTTTCGCCTTCATTTTTTTTTCCAGGACAACCTTCATTGCTGTACCTCTATTTACTTGTTGTTTGCAGCCCTTGATTGTTCGGTTGTCATCGTTGTTGGTGTTTCTAATTGGCAGCCCTTCGATCCTCTCCTAACAGTAGATCTCGATCCTCTCCTGGTTCGAGACGGTTTGTTCCTCTCTATGGACTCCTTGAGTAAGTTCTCTAACACTAGTTCTCTGACCATGATGGGTAAGAACTCTAGCTCCTTAGCTTTTAATGCCTCTTGTTCTAAAGATATCTGGATTGTTGACGCTGGTGCAACTGATCACATGACTCCATATATGTCATATCTCTCTTCTTATTCACCTTTACCTAATAAACGCCATATTACCGTTGCAAATGGGTCTCAAACCCCGATTGTCGGATTTGATAACATCCACCTAAGCCCATCTCCACCTAAATGATGTGCTTCATGTCCCTAAGCTTTCTAACAATCTGTTGTCCATCCATAAACTCACTAAAGACTTGAACTGTGTAGTAACCTTTTTTCATTCTCATTGTGTTTTTCAAGACCTTGCTACAGGTAAGACGATTGGAATTGCTGAGGAACAGAACGGGTTATATTGTCTGCCTCATAAGGAAAGTAAGTGTCATCAGGCTGGTTCAGAGTCACGGGCAAATACTCAAATATGGCTCCAACACAGGCGTCTTGGACATCCTCCTTTCCAGATGCTCAGGTCTTTATTCCCTCACTTATTTACCAAAGTGTCTGTTGATTCCTTTCATTGTGATGTGTGTCAGTTTGCCAAATCTCATCGAGCAACCTATTCCCCTAGTAATACTAGGAGTGTCGAACCCTTTGATCTTGTTCATTCTGATGTATGGGGGCCTTCATCCATTTCCAATATTTCAGGGGCAAAATGGTATGTTACCTTTATGAAAGATAAGTCTGAAGTGTGTCAATTGTTAACTTTTTTCAAATGGTCAAAACACAGTTTGGGAAACCTATTAAACGGTTACGGTCAGACAATGGTAAGGAGTATGTAAACCAAATTTTTTGCAATTTTCTCAAAACTAATGGTGTTGTTCATGAGTTGACTTGTGTTAACACTGCACAACAAAATGGGATTGCTGAAAGAAAAAATCGTCATCTTCTTGAAATCACTCGAGCATTACGCTTTCAAATGAACGTTCCTAAATTTTATTGGGGGGTAGCTGTCTTGACCTCTGCTTATTTAATCAATAGGTTACCTTCTAGGGTGTTATCTGGTGTTAGTCCTGTGCAGGTCCTGACTTGATTCTTTCCGTCCGTGCCCATCTTGTCAAGTCTTCAGAATCGTGTCTTTGGTTGTTTTGCTTTTATCCATATTCATGGCCCTCATCGGAGTAAGTTAGATCCTTGGGCTATTAATTGTATCTTCATAGGATATGCTTCAGATAAAAAGGGGTACAAGTGTTATCATCCTCCTAGTCGTCGTGTCTATATATCCATGGATGTTACTTTTCAGGAATCAGAGTCTTTTTATCCCAGTCCTCAGCTTCAGGGGGAGAATAATCAAGAAGCTGAGTCTTCAGAGTTGTTTATTCTTCCTGTTATTCCTCGAATACAGGACCCAGAGCCGTCTCTTGAATTGTCTGTTATTCCTGTAATACAAGAGCCTTTGATGCCTAATGAGGATGGTGGTGATGTATCAATACCGGTGCATAATAATGATGAGGATGGTGGTGATGTACCAATAACGGTGCATAATAATGTTGACAGATACAAGTTACAGTTCCAGCGAAAAAGGTGGAAAGGTAAACCTGTTCTGCCCCAACAAGTCCAATCGTCTGAACCTGAGGTAAGTGTTCCTAACCCCGAGCCTAGTAATTCTTGTGAGCTGAACCTTGATGACCTACTTATTGCTTTGAGAAAAGAAAAAAGGTCTTGTACTAAATACCCTATATCCCAGTTTGTGTCTACTGAAAAACTTTCTGTGCAGCATCAAAGTTTTATTTCAGCTATTGACTCTATTAGAGTCCCTACATCAGTACAAGAAGCATTAAAGGATAAGAACTGGATTCAAGCCATGAATGAAGAGATGCATGCACTAGAGAAAAATGGGACTTGGGAGATTATTGAAAAGACAAATGACAAGAGGCCAGTAGGTTGCAGATGGATATATACGGTAAAATACCGATCCGACGGCACATTGGACAGATATAAGGCGAGACTAGTTGCAAAGGGATACACCCAGACCTATGTAATTGATTATGAAGAGACATTTGCTCCAGTAGCAAAAATGAACCCTGTAAGAATCATTCTTTCCTTGGCAGCTCACTTTGATTGGCAGTTGCAACAGTTTGATGTGAAAAATGCTTTCTTGCATGGAGATTTGGAGGAAGAGGTGTATATGGAGATCCCACCTGGATATGACCCTACTCCAGGAAGTAATAGGAAGTAATAAGATTTGTAGATTAAAGAAGGCCATATATGGGCTCAAGCAATCACCTCGAGCTTGGTTTGGAAGGCTCACTCATGTTATGGTGTCCTTGGGTTATAAACAAAGTCAAGGTGATCATACTCTGTTTATAAAGCATTCTCAAAATGGTAAACTCACTCTTTTGTTAGTCTACGTAGATGATATGATCATAGCAGGTAATGATGAATTTGAGAAGATGAACTTGAGGAAGGAGTTGGCAGCTCAGTTTGAAAGGAAGGGTTGATAAAGCTCAATACCAGAGACTTGTGGGAAAACTCATTTATCTATCTCACACCAGGCCTGACATAGCTTATCCGGTTAGTGTTGTCTGTCAATTCATGCATGATCCACAGGAGAGGCACTTACAGGCTGTGGATAGAATCCTGCAATATCTAAAGATGAGCCCAGGAAGAGGTCTATTGTTCAAGAAAAGTGAACAGTTATCTATGGAGGTCTATACTGATGCAGATTATGCAGGATCGATTGTTGACAGGAGATCCACCACTGGATATTGTATGTTCTTAGGTGGAAACTTAGTGACATGGAGGAGCAAGAAACAGAATGTAGTTGCCAGATCAAGTGCAGAGGCAGAGTTTAGAGCCATGGCTCAAGGAGTTTGTGAACTGTTGTGGATGAAGATCATTCTAGATGACTTGAAAATAAAATATGAAGCTCCTATGAGACTTTTTTGTGATAATAAGTCTGCTATTAGTATTGCTCACAATCCGGTCCAACACGACAGAACAAAGCATATAGAGATAGTCCGACACTTCATCAAAGAGAAATTGGATAGTGGTCTTATTTCTACACAGTACGTCCCATCAGGACTCCAGTTAGCTGATGTGCTCACCAAAAGACTCCCATTGGAGCGGTTTCGAGATCTTACTTGCAAGCTGGGGATGATAGATATCCATTCCTCAGCTTGAGGGGGAGTATTGTAATATTAGTATTATTATTATTATTATTATAATATGTTGAATATCATACAGCTCATTATGAGCTGCTATCCTATACAATTTATTATGAATAATTAGCATTTATAGGGAGAATAATTACACCCTTATTTAGATAGATGTATAGTCTATAAATACCTCTTATGTATTCTTTACAAAATATATAAAAACATTTTCATATTTCTACAGTATTTTTTCTAAAATTCTACCTCTTACCTCATCAAGGTCTTTATTGAGCCCAGTGAGAAACATGAATACACGATCATTTTCTTGCCTCTTGAGAAACAAAACACTGTCTTCTGTACACCTCCAATTGTCATCATAACAAAGATCAAACCCTTGCCATAGTGTCAACAGCTCATTGTAATAAACGGTTACACCCCTATTACCTTGTTTCGCATGCCATAACTTTGATTTAAAACCAAATATATGGGAGGAGTTTTGAATATCAGAGTATGTTTCCTTAACAGCTTCCCACACATCCCTTGCGGAAGGCAAAAACATGTAAGGCTTACCTATTCCAGTTTCCATGGAGCTTGCCAGCCACGCAATAATCAAAGAGTTTTCATATTTCCATTGTTTGTAACGAGGATCTCGTGATGTCGGTTCAGCTACTGCTCCTGTTAAAGAACCAAGTTTCCCTTTGCTATCCAACACCAACCGAATGGTTTGAGCCCATTCATTATAGTTATTCCCATTCAGTTTAAGGATATTGACCTCGAGGGAGTACGAGGAACCCTCTTGATCATTACCGCCTATGTTGGAATAACTATCACCAAAGACAATGTTCTTGTTTCCATTGTTGCCGTTATTACTGCCAAAACAATGTTAATGTCTTCATTATTGCCACTGTTTGTGACCACTGACGGTTCCTCTCGTTCGCCATCTCCGCGACCACCGCCGCCATTGCTGCGGCCATCGCCATTGTTATTCGCCATAAGAGGTTAAACAGGTATATGAATCGGATCAGGTAAAAAAGCGGGTCGAACAGAAATTCTTTTTGGGACTACACCTCGAACCCCACTAGTTGTAGAAAGCTTTACGGTAACCCTAACCCAAAGCTCTGATACCATATTGGAAGAAATAAATAAAAGCTGTTGTAATTTTATTCCTCAGCCTAAAGGCTGGTTTATATAATGAGAATACAATAAAAATATTTAATTATCTCCTTAATGGAGAATAAAAGAAAATAAATGACAATAAATGTAAACAATTAAATATGAAAATAAAATATTTTCTAACAAACTTGATCAAGGAATTAGAAGGAGACTGATTTGACTCATTCTGCCAATACCATGTTTGGACAATTGAGTCTCCTAGCCTCAGTGCCCGCCCTGTGTTATTGTTGGATCTACAATATTGGTTTTCATGAACATGGGATTGCATTATTTGTTTTTTTCACTTTATTGCGTTACTATATAAAGCAGACATGAAATTCGTGATGAAACTGTTTACATTTGGCATTATTCATTTTTGCAGGAGCTTGGAGTAAATTGTATAGAGTTAATGCCATGTAATGAGTTCAATGAGCTGGAATACTACAGTTACAATGCTGTACAAGGGGACTATAGGTAAGAGAGTCATTTGGTGATGAAATCGTTATCATTCTTACCGATGACTTCTGATTGTGAGATCTTGTCAGATGTTAATCACAGTTAGCCATTTATTTGCATCGTTGTCATTTTAACCATTGATGCCTTGCATAAAATTATGAACTAATTAAATGTTATTCTACATTTGTGGCTCTATGATTCTTATTTTGACTTCTCTTTAGTTTTATCTCAAGTATATGATAAACCTGTTTCATTTTTCTTAAAGGGTCAATTTTTGGGGGTATTCAACCATCAATTACTTTTCACCAATGATCAGATACTCAACAGCTGGCACACAAAACCGTGGTCGTGATGGGATTAATGAAATTAAGTTCCTCATCAAAGAGGCGCACAAGCGAGGAATAGAGGTGATCAATTTTGCATATAGTTTATTGTTTATTTTTTTTAAGATTAAATTATGATTTCATTGCTGTATTAATGGAGCAGGTTATTATGGATGTTGTTTTCAATCATACAGCTGAAGGGAATGAAAAGGGTCCCATTATTTCTTTCAGAGGAGTTGACAATAGTGTGTATTACATGGTAGCACCCAAGGTATTCCTAAACATTCTTATTCTCTTTCAGCTATTTGGTTAGAAATTTTGAAGCCTTGGAGAAACTCAAATCATAAAGAAAAAGATTGGTAAAGTCATATAAATGAAATTCTTGATGAAAATAGTTCTGATTAGGAATGTTTAAGCAAAATTAACTATTAAACCAGTTAATAGTGATCAATGACTAGTCAGTAAACACTCACTATCTAAATTAATTACGTGAGTGATTATTTGACTAATTATTTGACTATTCATGAACGGGAATCAATTTCATAGAAACGAGTTACTAAATAAGATTGTATTTTCATTAATTGAAACAATGAAGGATACAATGACTTATATATGGCTAGAAAGAAAGAGCTGGGAAGAGTTGATAACAACCTAACAAGCATTACACCTAGAATAATAAAGATTAATCTAAATATCGGAAAATATGATGACTAATTACTCCTAATAGCCCCACTTAAGTTGGAGAATGTAGGCTTAATACTCCCAAATTATAAAAAATAGCAGAAAAAAGAAGAGGTTCCTGAGGTTTAGTAAACTAGTCTGCCAATTGATTTGATAATGTAATCAGTGTTGTCAAATATTAATATAAAAAATTATCGGATCACCAAAAAAATTGATATGAGAAATATTGGGTCACCAAAAAAACTGATATGAGAAATATCGGATCGCGTAGCGGGCATATATCGGATCGCGTAGCGGGCATATATCGGAAGCCGGAAAGGGGTTAAAACAGAAATAAAAACTAAAAAAGTTGAAAATTTAAATTGAAAATTTCAAATCCAATAGCTAAAACATAAAAACTACAAACAGAAATTTAAAAGGAATTAAAACTCAAAATATTAAATAATTCAAACTAATAACTAGTTGTTCTTCTAAGTCTAACTAATGATAAAAGATTTACCTATCCTCCTTTTCCTCTTCCCTAACCTAATCATTATTCTCCTTTTCAGATAGGGAGGCATATCCTTAAGCTTCTCCAATTGAATCATCTGAATCAATATCCTCAAATTCTGCTATTGATTCTTCAATGGCTGAATCTTCCACTTCAATCACTTGTTGTTTTTTCTTCCTAAACGAAGAACCAACTAACTTTTTCTTTCTTCTTTATTTTAGATGAAATGCCAACATTAGGGTGGAAATTTCTTCTCTTTTTAGTTGTTGTTTGCCTAGTATATCCGGTAGGTTCTCCAACTCATGAAGCTTTATAAACAACTTCTCAATTAAGGGTATCCTCATCATTCTGGTGAAAAGTGTAAAAATTTGAAGAAATAAAGAAGAGAAACCGAAGAATTGAAGGAAGAGCAGTCAAAATTTCTTCTCTCTTTTCAGTTGTTGTTTGCCTAGTATATTGCTTAGGTTCTCCAACTCGTGAAGCTCTATAAACAACTTCCCAATAAAGGGCATCCTCATTATTCGAGTGAAAAGTGTAAAAATTTGAAGAAATAAAAAAGAGAAACCGAAGAATGGAAGGAAGAGCCAATGAACAGGTAGGTGTATATAATACCAGACACCATTCAGTACAAAAGAGTAAGAAAAAACATGTGTATAAAACATGTTTATAAAGAATTAGGCATTGACTCAGTAACCCACATTTTCTTTTTTCCAATGTTTCCACCTCTTTAGATTCCACTTTTCCACCTCTTCACCTTACCCTCTTTAATATTTCTACTTTTCCACCTCTTCACCTTACCCTCTTTAATGTTTTTAAAAATGATTTATAATAAAAAAGTAATAATAAATATATGGCTTCCATAATTGGTATATCCGTATACAGAAAAATTGCTGATACCGCGAGCATCGCGAAATTGAAATGTTATACCGACTTTAGTATCGAATAGCCAAAACTCCGATGTGCAATACTGGTAGACCGGCGGTGCTATATCAGATATTCAACAACACTGCAGCGACTCTGACTGGGATACTTGCCCTGTGTCTCGAAGATCAACAATCGGTTTCTGGTTTCTGTGTTTTCTTAGGTTCCTCATTAATTTTCCGACGTTCTAAAAAGCAAACTATTGTATCTCATTTATCATCCGAAGCTGAATAGGCTCTTGCATCTACCACATGTGAAGTTCAATGGCTTACTTAATGATTTGCAACTTTCATTCACTATACCGGCACTCTTATACTGCGACAGAAACTTCGCTCAAAGAATTGCAAGCGTCCTAAAACACTTCGTTCATGAACAACTTCAAGCTATTCTTTTTCATGTTCTTTCAATTACATCCCGGGTTGTTAAATATTTGGTATAGCACCTGTATACCCGTACGCATTGGAATTTTTATATCCGATATGAAAGAGCTATAACATTTCAATTTCGATATCGGCGATTTTCGGGTATATCTGTATACCTGTTATTAATGGAATATCGAAAACCATATTTTTATTATTATTTTTTTATTATAAATCATTTTTAAAAACATTAAAGAGAGAGTAAGGTGAAGAGGTGAAAAAATAGATATATTAAAGAGGGTAAGTTGGAGAGGTGGAAAAGTAGAATCTAAAGAGGTGAGCATATTAGAAAATGGAAAATATGGGCTACTAAGTCTGTGCCTAGTTCTTTATATACATGTTCTTTCTTCCTCTTTCATACTGAGTCAGTGTCTGGTATTATATATATACACCTACATGTTATTCGTCCTGTTAATTCAATCTTTGACTGCTCTTCCTTCAATTCCTTCAATTTTTCGGCTGCTTATCTTCATTTCTTCAAGCTTTTACACTTTTTCACTAGAATAACGATGATGTCCTTGATTGGAAAGCTGTTTATAGAGCTTGAGGAGTTGTAGAGCCTAGGCAAATAACTAAAAAGAGAAAAGAAATTCTCAACCCTAATGTTGTTGTCATTTCATCTAAAACAACAAAATTAATTGGGAAGCTGTGTATAGAGAGATATAGAGAGCTTTAGGAGTGGAGAGCCTACAAGATATTCTAGGAAAACAACTAAAAAGAGAAAAGAAATTCCCAACCCTAATGTTGTCAGCACTTCATCTAAAACAACGAAGAAGTTGGCCGGTTCTTCATCTAGGAAGGAAAAGCAACAAGTGGTTGAAGTGGAAGATCTAGTCATCGAAGAATCAATAGTAGAATTTGAGGATATTGATTTAGATGATTCAATTGAAGAAGCTGAAGTATATGTCTCACGTCTCACTATCTGAAAAGGAGAATAATGATTATGTTGGGAAGGGGAAAAAGAATAGTTAAATCTTTATGATTAGTTAGACTTAGAAGAACTAGTTATTATTTTTAACTATTTAACTTTTTGAGTTTTAATTCCTTTTAAATTTTTGTTTGTAGTTTTTTTGTTTTAGTTATTGGATTTGAAATTTTCAATTTAAAATTTCAACTTTTTGAGTTTTTATTTCTGTTTTAACCGTTTTGCGGCTTTCGATATTTGACTGCTACGCGATCTGATATTTCTCATATTGGTTTTTTGGTAATCCGATATTTTCGATATTGATATTTGACAACAATGAGTTGTTGAAAGCTTAGAGATGCACAGCAGAATCAGAGGAGAAAAACAGACCATGAACAGTAGCACCTTTAATGTAATGAACAATTCTCAGAGCAGCTTCATAATGATTTGTAGTGGGATGTTGCATGAATTGAAGCTTCATAATGATTTGTAGTGGGATGTTGCATGAATTGAATTGTGTTGAATTGTGTTGAAAGCTTATGCAGCCCTGTATTGGCCAGAATATCTAGGGCCTATGTGCGTTGACTTAGGTGAATTCTTTTGTTGGTGCACACAACTTCAAGTCCAAGAAAGTACTTGGGATTGCCTAACTCTTTGATGCGAAAGTTGGAAAAGTATTTAGTTTAGCGACAGGAGAAATTAAGAAAGTTTACCCCTTCTTGTTGAATGTAGCCTTTAACCATAAGGCGAGCTTTATAGCATTTCACAGTGCCATCAGCTTTATGTTTGATATGATAAATCCTTTGACAACCAGTAGCAAGCTTGTCCTTCGGCAATGCCGTTAGATACCATGTGTTAGTGGCAAGTGCTTGAAGTTCATTGTTCATGGCATCAATCCATTGTGGGATTTGATAACCTGCATGTAAGTTTTTGGTTCAATAGCATTGGATATGGAGAGTGTTTAATGAAGATGTGGAGATAATTTGTGGTAAGATAATACAGAATGCAAAGGATACATCAAGTTTGTGGTAGAGGTTCCAGTTTTAGGTTTAAGTTAACAATGGAAATCTATGGAGAGTGTTTAATGAAGATGTGGAGATAATTTGTGGTAAGATAATACAGAATGCAAAGGATACATCAAGTTTGTGGTAGAGGTTCCAGTTTTAGGTTTAAGTTAACAATGGAAATCTTTGAGATATCTAGGAGCTTTTGTAGTCCTATATGATCGTCTGAGGTTGGTGTTTTCAATAGTTTGGTTTTAATTAGAATTAGGAATCTGAGGTGGCAGAGGAGCAGCAGTAACAATAGGGGTTCAGAAGAGGAGGAATTAGAGATTGGTGCAGTGGTTGGTGAAGGCATGGTTTGAGGAGCAGAAAGAGGTATGTTGCAAGTTGCAGGATCAATAGGATCATCAAACCGAAAAATGGAATAATCTTCGGCTGCAGAGTCAACCCTAACAAGAAAATAGTCAATAACAGCATAAGGGAAAGTGGATTCATAAAAACAGTATTGCGAGAAATGAATATTTCTCTAGTAGATAGATCAAAAGACGACTTAAACTTTGGTACCAATTTTGAAACCTAAGAAGATACATTTTCCAGCTCTTAGTATCAAGTTTAGTAGACGCCGTTCTAAGATAGACATTGAAATTCTGGTATGCAGATCTCAGATGTCCTAAGAGATACAAAGAGCATTGATCTCTGCTAAAACATAACAAGGACAGAACATGATCATTTTAAAATTCTTTCAGAAATAACAATGTCATGATATCTGTTGTAACATCGCCCGACTGACAGAACTATTTATCTAACCATTTAAATTGTGCAGAATTGTAAATGCTGAAAGATAAATAACAA